ACGACAAACCGATGTGGTCAGGGATGAGTCAAATTCGTAAAACGACGAGTCGAAGAGGCTAGCCAACGAATCGAACCGACAAGACGACGAGACGAACTCGCGAACAGATGAGTCGACTTCTTAAGACGGCTAGTCGAACTGGCAATCCGACAAGTCGCACACGGAAAAACAACGAGTCGACTAGAAGTATCGGTGTGCGGAACGATGAGTCGAACATTTGATTTCCGTAACGAAACAATGAGTCGAACATTTTTCCACGATCTACCTTCATGCCAAAACACCTTTTACCATTGGCTTGCCACGATTGACGGAAGTGGAAAGGTGGTGAATTCTAATTAAAAAAACTTACATCACTCTTAGGTTCAATTCTTTGGAAGATAAATTAAATTCTTTCCAAAAGATTCTTGTCTCTTTAGATTTAATTAATAAGTTCAGATTCTTTTTCTACGGGCCACCGTCACCACCAAAAAATACAAGGATGTCAAAGAGATCAGCAAATACAAAGCTGGTCTAAGGATCAGCTACAGAACAGCATAGCTAATAAAGGAATGGCATGGCCAAACATGAAATTGTGAAATGAACTGGCTAAATTGCGAATAGCTTAGCATTCATTTGCAATACAGAACAATTCCATGTTCCAACTCGAGCTTGACATAGGCAACTAGACCGTTTATCATTTGGCTAAATTATTCATGTTTAGGGTGTTCTGTTTCATGAAGGAAATCTAAACTGTATATAATTTGGCCATGCCAATTCTTTATTAACTTTGCTATCCTGCAGCTGATCCTTAGACCAGCTTTGTATTATATTTGCTGATCTATTTGACAACCTTGTATTTTTGGTGGTGACGGCCGCCTATACTTGGTCCCCAGAGAAGAATTATACTAATACTGAGAAACTAATACTGGTCTTCTTCCAAGGATAAGAATCCCCATGAGAAGAAACTCGTATTTCACATTTATGGTAGAAGAATGCTCGTTATCTTCCTAAGAAAACAAAATTATTTTGACAAGAAAAGACAATAAGGTATTATTCTGAGAAGAAACACTGCTCCCCTCCCAGGACAATTATGAATATTCATTTGGCAGAATCCTATATTCTAGGCAAGCTTATCAGAAGAATTACTGTTTTTGTCCTTCACCCCGGAATAAAATAATCGTTTTTTAAATTGATTTTACAGACCCATGTTCTTCCCCTGAGATTGACTTTGCTTTCATTAAAACTCACAGAAGTATTCTTGCTAAAAATATATTTGAGCTCTTCTGAAGACTTAATATTTTACTGAGCAGAATCTCACGCTTTTAATGTTTTTTTGTATATTCATTGGAATTGTTTTTCTTCTAACACAAATCAAAGGGCGCCTGTAGCCAACTAGTGGATAAAGCCGTATTGAAGGGATATATACTTGTAAAGTTGTTATCAGTAAACTAATGTGTTAAAAAAATATAGAAAGTAAAACCATTGCAAGTATAGAAATTATTGTACTTGAGTAT